TCTTGTATCTTATTGCGGAGCTTAGTTATGGCAAGTTATTTGTTTTTGATTAATGGCGTTTTGTGGGCGTGGCAGTGGTCCGATTACGCCCATCTGCAATACCAACCGTCTCACGGTACCATGAAACATGTCTACCAAGTTTCATAAAGATATCTCAATTTTTACTCAAGTTAGAGCTTGCACGGACGGACGGACAGACGGACGGACAGACGGACGGACGGACAGACGGACGGACAGACAGTCACCCGGATTTCAACTCGTCTCTTCATCCTGATCATTTATATATACATAACCCTATATCCAACTCGATTAATTTTAGGTGATACAAACAACCGTTAGGTGAACAAAACTATTATACTCTGTAGCAACAGGTTGCGAGAGTATAAAAACATAATATATAAAAATATAATAAAAAACAACATAAAAAATTATAATAAAAAATAACATAAAAATTATAATAAAAACTTTAAAAAGTCAAATTATGAGAAAAGATAATGAAAACAAGAACAAATAAGAAAAATGTTAACTTCGGTGCACCTAAGCTATAATAGCCTTCACAAATACAAAAGATTCCTTAGAAGAACCGATTTCCGATTGTTCACTTTGCTACACTATATGCTATAGTGGTTCGATTTCGGCCATTCCGACAAATGAGCAGCTTCTTAGTGAGAAACGGTCACATCCTAAATTTAAGATCGATATCTCAAAAACAATAGGGACTAGTTCGCGTATATACAAACAGACGGACAGAAGGGCATGGTTAAATCAACTCAGCTCATCGCGGTGATCATTTATGTATGTATTTTATAGGCTCTCTGACGTTTCGTTCTGGGATTTACAAACTTCGTGGCAAACTTAATATACCCTGTTCAAGGTATAAAAATAAAAATGTATCAATAAAAAAATTAAAAATATAAAAATATAAGAAAATAAAAGATAATAAATAATATTGAAAATAATAGACGGGAAATTTATTGAAAACAAAAATTGTTCTAAGTTTTCAAATTATGTCATGGAGCCGTATTTCTAGAATCAAAATTATGGTACGCAACTCAACTAAAGCAATCAGCTGTTCAATGTAATTGGCTACTAAGTTTCGAACCCGTTTACATCGTTACTTAATATATTTTTATAATCTGTAGAATTGAAGAGAAAAAAGAAAAAACATGTGAAAATAATTTACAAAAGTAAAAAAGGTTTGAATTCAGAGTAAAATTAGTAGCAAGAAAAAAATACAGTATAATTCTGTACCCTAACGGTTGTTATTATTTTATTACTTGTCATCATTTACGAAATATTATTTAATCACAAAACTGTAGACACAAAATATTGAAATAAGTAGCTACTATATACAAGTATATGCACAATTTGCCCAATCTTTAACAGTTTTAAATGGTATGTATACGTCAGACATACTATGTAGTATACATAAAAAATATGTATGTATATGAATTTCTAGATAACTTTCAAAGAGCAAAATTCACAAAAAGCTGTCAACTGTAAGGTGTGAATATTAAACTCGCAAACTTAAAAGAAATAAAACTGTGATCTGTCAAAAACAGGTGATTAATGCAGCAAATGCAGATTAGCCACGACTAAAAAAAAATTAAAAAAACATCAAAACAATTTTAAAATGATCAGAAGAACAAATAAAAAATAACGCTCGAATGACAAATCACCTTAACAAAGAAGCGCAGCAGGTGTCTTATGTTTGTTTGGATTTGTAGGTGGCAGCTGTACCACCTGACGCCCTGTGTTCGTCTCAGAAAGCGCTTATTCGATTGATGATGCTGACACAATTACTCATATCGAATGAAGTGATGATCATATGATCACTCCCACAAGCGCGGCCGCGATATCATCATAGATCGCTTATTGTTGAGGCAAAAAATGCAGATACGAGTGTGTTAGCGTATGCATGTGGAATACGTTCAGGGACAGCATGTGATCGATACATCTGTATGTTACGATCTCGAAAATGTGTGCTTCATTTAAATTTCAAATGTCAATATTAAGCGCAATACGATTAAATCATTTTTAAAAACTTGGATTATTACTAAATATTTATGTGTTTGAATATTTTGGCAATAAATGAACTTGAAAGCGATCTAGATAGTCTAGTAGCCAATGCAGTTATGCGCCTCTAGCAGCAGCTAAAATCAATTCAAAGCTATATATGTAGTTGCCTAATTAGTTTTTATTAGCAAAACATTAAATTGCAACTATCAAATGATGGATATTTTAGGAACTCGAAAGAAAAAAGATAAAACGCACTGAAAATATACTAATTTGATGCAAGCAAGAAAATAAACTAATAAGAGATTATATAAGCATAAAATAAGCTTAGTTAAATTTCCATTAATACATGTCTAAAATTTATTTGAGAATAGATAATCATATAGCATTTTTTATCAAAATATTTATAGTTATTTACTACCTGCTCTTGGTGTGCATTTAAACGGCAAAGATTAACAAAGAAACTTAGAGGATGTCTATATTTTGATTTACCATAAAAGGGCGTATGAAAAATCTGTGGTCGATATATTTTCTATTTATGTTAAAACAAGATATGAAAATATTGCAAGAGGGATATTTTGGTACAGATTTTGAAACTTCATATGCTAATTTTTCTTTGAAGATGATTTTAAAACAAAACTTCGGTCAAGGGGAAGCGCTGTAGAAATTTATTAAAGGACCGAACTATTAAACATCAAGTTTGGGTAAACAAGTGCCGCTAGACTTTTCTGGTGTGCTGGATTATGATTATGCAAGTAATTTATTAGCGCCTGAGGACCTTACGCCGAATAGATTGAGGTAGAAATCGTCAACGAAACGTTGAATCACAATGTTAACGGAATTTTTTTTTTTGATTGGTTTATATTATAATTTTTTTAGTAAACTTTCGAAGGGCCGTCAATGCCTCAGAAAATCAACTAGCTACTGCAAACATATTGGCCATTCTACTGCAGGGTATATACCTACACATTATACTACATAAGTAAATATTTGAAAATATTTAAAGGCTTAAAAAGCGTTAGAGTATGAAATATTATATTTACACGCAGCAGCAGAGCACCACGGCAGCTGAAGCGATCTCCTAACACCACGACAAGGTTAATTATCACATTGGAAATTTAAATAAGTATATTTTCGAAAATACATTAAGACACAACTAAAATTATGCAAAGCAGATGTTAATCCAAAGATTTTCAAACAATTTATGAGGTTTCCCTCCACATTTGTCTACCCTCGCTCGTCAAACTCCAACTGGTGAACAAAAATAGCTTGTGAAGGAAGTGGAAGGCCATAAAACGCTAACATATTGTATAACAATGTGTTGGAAGCATGGTAAAACCAAATTCTAGATTCTCAATTCGGCATGTTTACATGCCCGCATGCCTTATGGCTAACCCCAAACCGCTGCCTCAACTCCCTGCTGAAAAACTCATACGAGACAGCCATCAACTCGTGGCATTGCATAACTTCCATCGCTGATGAAATGGGGCGCCGTGCCTTAGAGGCACTCGACAGCAGCGCCACCGAAGTGTAGAAGACGTCATAAGCACGACATACACGACTACATGGCACAGAAAAGTTGAGACAGTGGGAGAGCGAGAGGGTGGCTGGTAGGCGACAAGCTCGGGGCGCACCTCTAATAGATTTCCGGTGCACTAGAAATTCATTCGACGCACTAACGCAAGAAATACACACGGACCAGCGAGCAGACAGCCAGCTAGCACTCCAAATGGCGGCGCAACAACAACACAAGCGCCAGCCAATAAACAGTGCGAGTGAATGATGCAGAACATTGTTGCTAGTTGTCTGTCTGTTTGTCTATCCATGTATATAGTTAGTGGCTGATTAACAAAAACAAAAGCAATTATCTAGCTATAGATGTGAATAGTTGTCTTGCTGCTTCTTTTTAATTAGCGGAAACGATTCCGATGTTAAAGCTGCCAGGTTTCAATTCATAAAGCAAATGTTCAGATTTTATGCTTCACTACCTAATCAGATTGAACGCCGTATTTGCATTTGTTGTCATGTAAGTGTATGTGTATTGTTTGGAAAATGTGTAGTTAACGCTTTAAATAGATTATACTTTTGTTGTTGCACGCTTCGTTTTCTCTCTTTGCGCTTTAACTCCACAACAATTGCGTTAATTAGTAATTAATCATTCTATTACTTAGCTTTAATTTTATCTACAAGCTGTTTAACAGTTATTATATTGTGGGGTTGAGAAAGCATATATCTTTGTAAGTATGTAAGTATATATCCTTTGTAAACAGTTCTAGTTGATTGAGGTTAGGTTTTATCGCGAGGAGAGAATAACATATACGAGCTTAAAACTTGTTTTCCCATACGAGTCAATCAATTCAATTTGAGATCGCTCTTTGAGAACTGAGTACCATAACTCTCTTCAAAGTGAGACGAATAACCCAATGACAATCCAAAAAGGAACTTATCCAATTTCATAATGGTTAACAATTTATTGTTTTCTGTAATTGACAATATTGTGTGGTGAGAGAAAGAACTGAGTAGAACTTAGAAACCATATTGTTATTGATAGTGGTCTATAGTGGTCCGATATCGGCGGTTCCGAAAAATGACTAGCGTCTTGGGGTGAAAAGCGCTAGCGCCAAATTTCCGATCGATACCTCATAAACTGAGAGACTAGTTCGCGTAGACACGTAGTACAGACATGGCTAAATCGACTTTATTCGCTTCGATCATCATTTGTATATATATTTTATTATAAATATATAAACGTAATGGCAAACTTAGGGTATAACAATGATATATGTATATAACTTTGCTCAATTACTTAAGTAATAAAGCTCAGTATTCATGGTAGATATTAAAAAAGTGTGAAGAAGAAGAATTAAAAATTGGCTCGAGTTCTGTCAATGCAAGAGCTAAATGATCCCAAAGTTTAAATTCATAATAAATTGTTTAAGCATATATGTATACAGTTATGTACAGTATGTATTTAAATAACTTACATCTGGATGTTCTCGAACCGGCACGTATACTTTCTCATTTAACTGTACAGGGGCGCCCTCGGGCTCTGGCAGCGTGAGTGGTTCCTTCTTGACGCCATTTATTTGAAATAGTGAGGCACGTACTCGCGCGATTTCTGCAAAATAAAAGATGTGAAATTAAAAGATAAGAAAATATTATTATTTGGATTGGAAAAGCGGATAAAAGCGGTAAAACGCAATTAATTTGCTGTAATAATAACCAAACAAATTAGATAACATAAATAAAAATAACAAATATGAGCACACATACATACAATACATATGTATGTATGTGCTTGTATATGTTGATGTGCGTGCGCGTAGATTGACGGAAGCCATATTGCGTTTAATTGAATTATCAATTCGAATAGATTTGTGAACTCTTGACACGCAGCCATATCGAATTAATTTCGCACACAATTCGACAGCAAATGCCTATTTAATACTTGGCCACACATATGTGAATGTATGTGTCAATAAACCACTACAGAGACGCGCAAACATACATGTTTGCTTAAATTCATAAATATTTTATGTGTACTCAAACTTTTTATGGTTTTTTACTTATTTTTCCGTTTTCTACATATTTCCTATTAAATATTTCCTACACGTTTCGAGCATAAGGCGGCATTAATTTGCCTCGAGTTATGGCTAAAAGTCAAACGCTAGCTCTACGAATAATCAACCAACTAACCAAAAACGTGATTGGCTGACCGACTGCAATTGGCTAGCGAATTGCTTTGCAATATCACAATGCACTTGGCCAAATGCGCGGTCTCGGCCACCACAAGCTGCGTCGCCGTCAACGAGCGTGGTAGTCAAGTAAGACGATTTTAACGACTTAAACACCTCTGTTTGCCTCATTCTGCCGAAATTTGTGCGAGCGGCGTGGCTCGGCTTTGGCCACTTCATTGTTGCAATGGGCGCTTAAAGCGCATAACTGCTCATAAACTTTGAGATATCTATATAAGCGCTCAAACCGACAGACACACGCAAGTGGGGTGCAGCGTGCAGCATGCATATATCAGGCCTTGTTGATCGATGCTACTGCAGCTCCCAGCAATTAGCACTGACTATAAATAAACGTTTGAATGCTGCTAAACTGTATTTTAAACGCTTAGCCATATTTCACACGCGAATCACAAGCTAAGCTCGCCATTTAAATGCTGGGTGATTATACACCTCAAATGATTGCGTTTGCTAAGTATGAAATTGTTGTTGTTAGCAATAATCGGTAGCATATGTTAATACTAAAGGTTAACAGGTCACATTAAGTTGGCCCACATTGATGATGACACTGTAGTTGAATTATAACGCCAATATTATTTTTCCATCATTACTCCTTTTATTTTATTTCATTTTTTTATATATACTTTTTTTATAATTATTTATTTTTTTATTCTTCAATTTATTTATTATAATATTTAATTCGTTTTTTCATTAATTGATTTAATTTAATTTATTTTTGTTATTTATTTTTTTAAGTCTTGCATATTATGCAATTCATTTTCATAGATTTTTTTTAGCCAATTATTTTTATTAGATTTTCAATTCTTCATTCTCTTTTTTAAATGCCTCTACTTTTTTTAACATTTTACATTATTTTAAATAATTTATATAATTTATAATTTTTAATTGTTTTTTTTTTTAATTATAAATATTTCATTTAATATATACAACTCTTTCGACATCTACTCAATATATTTATATATTTATTATAAAAAACTACATATATTTAATTTTTTTTTTGTATTTTATTTTTAAATATTTTTTTTAATTTTATTTTTATATTTTATATTATCTTTTTTCTTTGTATATTTTTTTTGTATATTAATTTTTTTGAATTTTATTTTTGTATTTTATATTATCTTTTTTTTGTATTTAACTTAATTTTTTTTGTATTTAATTTAATTTTTTTTTTGTATTAAATTTTTTTAATTCTGTGGGCATTTTTTTATTTCCTTTAGTTTTAATCAGCCGGAACTAATCGCACAATCGACATTACGCGAAACTTTAAACGTTTTTTTCTCGAAACTGTCTTTTCCAAAACGACGCCCACGATTCCTCAGGTTCTATTTCTATTTTTATTTTTAGGAAGTCTTCTTTATTGACTTTTGTATGTCTGAAACTGTCCATATCCCTAAACTGCAAAATCGAAGAAGTCATAAAAAGTGGTACAAAAAAATTGTTTTTAATACTTTTTTTTTTTTGGTTTCATATTGCTATGAGAGTTAAAACTGTAGGTATGATCAGCTGCTAATTTTCTTCTTGTAAGGTTAATAAATAACTAATAAAAAAACAGATTGAAAGCAAAATAATTATCTTTTTTTCGACACTTTAAAAATCACCTGAAATTCATGCCTCTATACAAGGGGTAGTCTTGATGGGAAATCGGTAACTTAAATAGTTGTTGAGTTACAGCCTTCTAAAGTATAGTCGTTCAGTACAAGGAGATAAATGATCCGATTACTATTAAATTTGTTCTGCATTTACTTTTATGGTAGTTCTCCATAAAATAACCTACCGGTAGAAACGACCAAAATTGTTTGATTGTAATCCAATTTTTTTTTAAACGCCGCCATTTTGTTAACTTTAGGCTGTGAATAACTAGCTGACTAATTGATTCCAATAAATCCATGACGCGCAATATTATATTTATATAGACTTACGTAATAAATATGATGCGATATATTCAGAAGTAAAGTCAGTTTATAAAATGGAAATATATGTTATGGAAGCACATTGCAACTTTACACACATACGTATGTATATATGTATATACCATATATAGAACTTAGTAAATATCAAGTGCTATTTTCAGTTTCTAAAAAAAACTATAAAAGCAAACAGTAATTAAGTATGTTAAATTGATCACAATTGCGGTAAAAGTGAATAACACAAAATGTGCTTTGAAATTCTATAGAAATGAAATGATTTCATTCAAGAAGAATCCTAAGACTTCCAAGATAATATGTGCTTTACAAACGTAGCAACTGCCGTACACTATATATAAATCCATATACTATTTACGAGTTGAAATGAAAGTTTACTTTAAAATGCCTATGAGCAATCATCGTGATTTTCTTTCATTTTATATACATTTCCAACTGATTTTCTTGCTAATTTAATACTTATTAACTATTTGCAATTTAATTTGCTTGTGCAAAAAACTTATTTTAATGCAACATAATGGATTTCCTTATCTAATTTGCATCATTTGTCAAACCAAACCAAGCGCACACACACATAAGCATATTGTTAATATGTGAATAAGCGAATGGTGACACAGCCCGTGCAGTCCAGTCAGTCAGCAGGTCGATTGCCTATTTGCTCGTATGCAAATTTGTTTGCGAAATATTGCTGCAATTCCAGCAGTTTATTGATTATTACAATTGATTATCACACTTGCGCTGTCATAAAATGTCAGTGTGTGTGTGTGTGTGCTCGAGCCACCGCATATATCGCGCGAATTTCAGTCCATAGCGCACAGGCTTGCTGTCATGGACTGATACTGCGCCCACCTGCCCATCCCGCGCTCATCGCAGGCATTGCATCATCAGCGGCGACGGCGACATAAATAAATATAGAATTTCTGTACAGATGAGTGCATGCAAATGCTAAATACTCACTACTGTCATAAATTGTTAATCACATTTTCAGATTAGTAAAAGTGGTAAATATTTAGTGCCACGTGCTGGCCGATTGTGATTAATGCGGAGTTTAGTAAGGCTGATGCTCATGTGCGTATTTCTTTTTTTGTTTTTTGACCTTTTTGTATAATTTCCAGATGTTAAATGCTGAATTATTAACAATTCTTGGATGGCAATCAATACATATTTAATTGAGTATTTACTATTAATACCGGATTTGATCAGATATAATATTTTGTTGTCATTACAAATGGATAGTAGGTCTTTAATATTTATGAAAATATAAACATCAACACGATTTTAATGTTTCTAAAGAAATGCACAGCTTGAAAGTAATTATTCACCAGATGTTGGAAAAGCCTAGAATGCAGATATTTTGAACAGGTTTTCAGGCGATTCGGTGAGCTGTAATGTAAAGTTTAAACCTGATAGATGGTACGTGGGTCAAGTTGTTGCGAGATATCGTATAATATTTATAGTCGATATGGAATATTTATTGATAAAAGTAAAGTAATCTTATGAGAAGTACACAAATAATTTTAAAACTTAGTGTTATTAAAGTGAAAGTATTAGCAAAAACTGGAGCTCTGTATTGAAACAAGCATCACAATTAACTCGATTGAGGCATAAATAGGCAAATACTTAAAAAATAAGACTCTAAACTACCTTTACTTCGCAGCGAAGCAGTTGAAAACCCAGGAAAAGATTGAATGTGGAAAATTTATAATTAATACGATCGATTTTAAAAAATTGTATTTGCTGTAACTGATGTTTTATAACGAAAATCTTATTTCTTAATTACAGCTTTACAGAAAATTAAACTTTAAGTGATTTAAATTCTCTCTTATTATTTAAATTTAGTACTATGTTAGTTTTAACAGATTTTTAAATGAGAATATTTAAGATACAATTTTTTAATGGCAAATAAAAATATGGAATTTAAAAAAATTTAATTGATAAAAAATAAATTATTCAATATACGGAGTCATAATATTAGTAACATTATTATAATATTATTTTGGTAAATAGCTACCCCACCTTTTGGAACAGTATCTCGTTAAAATTGAACAATACAATTGAAATTAAAAATAAAATAATTAGATAAAAAATTCCTGAATAACCTACATGTATTGTAAGATAATAAAAATTATTTTCAGCAATATTAATTTCTCATTTATTCAATAAAGAAAAAATTGTATTTTCTTATCGGCCACCACGTTAAAAAAGTGTAACTTGAATTAATATCAACAAAAAACAAAAAATACTGCATAAAAATAAATAAATAATTACAAGTGCATAAGTTGATAATAAATGCTATGCAATAGCTTTACCGCGGCAGTCTTCGAGTGCCACACTATCTGTATCTGTTTTTTATGAATTTTCTTTCATTTTTTATTTTATACCCTGAATATTAAAATAGAACTCAATTTCTAATTCTCTTGATTCTCGACCTTCGCTTGCGCTCG